ACTGTGAGAGACAGAATGTGAAAAAAAAAATCCATGAATCCACATGGTAGGATTTGTAAAGAATTTATTCGTAAATCAGGGTGGAAAATAAGTATTTGGTCACCTCAAACATGGAAAATCTCTGGCTCTCACAGACCTGTAACGTCTTCTGTAAGACGCTTTTCTGTCCCCCACTCGTTACCTGTATGAATGGCGCCTGTTCTTCTAACACTGGAATATTTCTAACATTTTGAGTTATTTTCCAGTGTTAGAAAATCAGCTCTGCTCAGTGTTAGCCATTGTTAATCTTCAAAACTGACTAGATTACTTTTAAACATATAACACTGTCAAAAGTAGGGATGGCACCAGTTCTGACATAAACGGTAGTAACCAGACCGAAAAGCAGCGCACATTTCGGTGCTTTATTTCTGTGCTTTTTTTTCCCGAGATGTGATACACTTTGAATTCTAGCCAATCATTTTACGTTTCCAAGGATAGTAGGCGGGGCCAGGTACGTACGTTCTTTTAGAGCAGAGCTACAGATTAAAAATGCCCAAGGCGAAGCGGTCAAAAGTCTGGCTGTACTTCACAGCAAAAGATGCAAACTCAGCAGCCTGCAACAAGTGCTTTAAGCTGATACTGTGATGCTGTCAAAGGAGGTAACACCTCAAATCCGATGAAACACCTGGCGACGCATAGCGTTTTTTTTAAAAGCCGAGAAATGCGCCGTATTTGATAGCTTGCTGTGAGACCTCACACCGAGCGCATCTACTGCGGGTGGGTTGCCAGTTATCGGAGCCGGAGTTAGCAACATCCCCCAAAAACACGAAGAGGAGAGTCCTGGCCCCTAGCCCTGCCAGTGTAGCAGAAATGATGACGGATGATGATGCAGCAGCAGCCGTTCTTCTCTGCGTGAGTAGCTTAATGTTGTTCGTGTATAATTTACGTTGAGTAGGCTAACCACGTTATTACATTAATGCATGTAAGGTGAACTAGCAAACATCATCATAGCTACATGCAGCTGTCTTCTTGTTTGATAGCAGATACTCCCTTCACCCTGGCCAAAAAAGGCTAAAATGACCAAAGAAAAAGTGGAAAACAGCTAAACATGAGAGGTTTTTGGACAGAGTTTGTGTTTTTTCCATTGTTTAAGCACTGCTTCCAGCCAAGAGTGATACCATATATGCCCCATAGCTGCAGAAAAGGCTAACATTGTTATCTTTTTACAAAAAAACCAGCTGAACATGAGAGGTTTTTGGACCAATTTTGTGTTCTCCATTCTTTAAGCACCGGTTTGAGCACCGTTTGAGCACCGGCACCGTTTCAAAAGTACCGATTTGGCACCGGTATCGGATAAAACCTAAACGATACCCATCCCTAGTCAAAAGTGTTAATTTAACACTCAACAGTGTTGTATTTAACACTCAGAGGTGTGGACCCATATAGACACTCTCTAGTGTTAATTTAACACTGGAGATTTTCCTGTGTACCATATAACTTTGTTGTTTGCAAAACAACAGTTCTAAAAAGTATGCACTTTTTAGAAATGTACAGTTTCTATTTGCATTTCAAGTTATGAAAACAATTTGTTTAACATGTTTGTGGGTTTTACAGTAAAAAATATAACTTTTTCTCTACTCGGATTTTAAATTTTTTGCCTGAATTTATTAGGAGGTGGTGGGTAGGTGTATTCTTGTTCTTGGGTTTTGTTTACCTTCTTGGCATAGGTAGGCGGGGCGGGACTTGATGGCATTCCAGCACACCTGCGGCGCATCGGATGTCATCAGTGAGCGCTTTTATGGAGCTGAGTCACGGACGTCTGGTGTCGGAGTATTGTCGCTTTCACAAGTGGTAACGTGTTGGTGCAAGCTGAATATGTTGATTCCACGCTATTGAGCTGCATGTTTTTAGGATCCATCTCCAGCCTGCTTCTCCTTTGTTCTACCCTGTCCTGCTGCCTGCCCGCCTGCATAGTTTTCTTTGTGTTGGCTTCTTTGGATCCGTGACGGAGAGTTACTTCGTACCAGTCTGTGACCACCGCTACAGCTCCATTTCTTTGTTTCAAGTAAGCTCTCCAACTCTCCCCATCCACTTCAGTTTAACTCTCGGCTATCGACGTGTAGCGTGAGGTGGAGATGAAGCCAGCCGCGGAGGTGTGCAGGTGGATAGCGAATGAGCAACAGCTTCTGACTTCCCAAAAAGTACTCATTTATTTACAATATCAAAAATAAAAGTGCTACCTCTACCACACCTTACTAAAGAGCAAACTAGTCTGCGTACACACGGGAGCATCCATTACAGGAGTGCGAAGAAGAACAAAAAGGGGGTGACACACCAGTCATGAGACAGGAGGCGCCGCCATGTAGTGATACACTGCATTACAATAGCAACTGTTACATAGTCCCCCCTGGTGAGAAAAAGGCTGTCCTCAGCCGCACACAGCTGAAAAAGCACACACCACACCTAACAGTACCCTATACATAGAGGTTACAGCTAAGATTGGTGCACACACACAGGGCAAAAGACCATTTAAAAATGAAATTGGTGAAAATAAGACAAATATGTACAGTGGAAAATCAGTTTTCTTAGTTTTTTCATTTTTTTTTTTTTTTTTAAGTAAATGCCAAGAATGAACCTTAACGCACTAAAGAGCCATACAACTGGATTAAGTAGAGCAAACAGAACATCTACATATCATGACTCAAAATAGCAATGCAACAAGACAGCATGAAACAGGTTTAACCAAAACATTTCACTTCAGATCAAGCCTGGTTGTGTGAAAATCATTAGTCCATCTTTTGTTGCTCCAGCCAGACGTAACTCTGGGACAACGTCTGGGCCTGAGATTGTAATGTCCACCAGCAGCTGGGTGCTGGACAGATCTGGGTGAAACACTCAATGTCCGGTAAATCAAAGGGGAACGGCTCAGAGTTAATGTCAGTGTCAGAATCAGAAGATTCAGAATCAGATTCAGATGGGTTTTATTGCCAAATGTTGAGCAGGTTTACAACATTAGGAAATTGCTGCGGTGCTTCAGTGCAAACATACTGTCATAAATTACGCTTAAATAGACATGAAAATAAAAATAAGAATAAGAATTAAAAGTGCTAAGTAGATAGATATATACATGATATATACATGAGTGCAGGTGGTGATCAGTGCCAAACATGGAATGATGCAGGGTCATGTGTTAGTGGTGGGAACAGTCATACGGTTATTGTTCATGTGTCCGACAGCAGAGGGGAAGAAACTGTTCTTATAGCGAGAGGTTCTGGTGCGAATGGACCGGAGCCTCCTGCCTGAGGGGAGCAGGTCAAACAGACTGTGTCCAGGGTGAGAAGGGTCAGCTGAGATCCGAGCTGCACGCCGCAGTGTCCTGGAGGTGTACAGGTCCTGCAGAGATGGGAGTCTGCAGCCAATCACCTTCTCAGCAGAGCGCACAACACGCTGCAGTCTCTGTTTGTCCCTGATAGTGGCTCCAGCGTACCACACGGTGATGGAGGAGGTGAGGATGGACTCGATGATTGCAGTGTAGAATTGCATCATCGTCCGTGTTGGCAGGTTGAATTTCTTCAGCTGCCTCAGGAAGTACATCCTCTGCTGGGCTTTCTTAATGACGGAGGTGATGGTGGGCTCCCACTTCAGGTCCTGGGTGATGGTGGTACCCAGGAAGCGGAATGAGTCTTGAGATAGGAGAGAACCAGGCGCTCAAATGACTTCATGACCACAGATGTCAGAGCCACGGGTCTGTAGTCATTTAGTCCAGTGATCCTAGGTTTCTTGGGGACAGGGATTATGGTAGAGGACTTGAAGCAGGCAGGCACATGACATGTCTGCAGTGAGGAGTTGAAAATGCCAGAAAACACTGGGGCCAGCTCGTTTGCACAGTGTCTGAGGGTGGCAGGAGACACACCTTCTGGGCCGGGAGCTTTTCGAGCATTCAGACTCTTAAACTGCTTCCTCACACCTGCTTCATGAATATGAAGAATTGTGGTGGGAGGAGGTGGTGTGAAATCCTCTTTTGTGTGGGGTGAGGAGGGGGGTGTTGTAGGTGAAGTGTTTGAAGGTGGTGATGGCTCTATGGAGGGGGGAGAGGTGGGGGAATGAGTGTCCAAAGTGTCTCTATTGTTGGGGCCGTTGGAGGTGTGAAGGCTGCCTGATGGCTCGTCAAAACGGCAGTAAAAGTCGTTGAGGGTGTTGGCTAAGAGCAAGTCATCAGTGGAGTGGGGGGTTTTAGGCTTGTAGTTGGTGATATTCCGAAACCCTTTCCACACAGAGGCCGAGTGGAAAGGTTTTAGGAGTGAGTCAGTGAAGATAGTAACATGAACACCTTGAACATATGGGCGGAAGTGTTCCAGAGCCCATATCACAGCAAGGCACTCCTTCTCTGAAGTGCAGTAGGGGAGTTCAGCTTTGTGAAGGGAGCGACTAGCAAAAGCCACAACATACTCACGACCCTTGTCATCCTTTTGCATCAACACTGCCCCAAGACCAATGTCACATGCAGGACGGTTGAAGTCTGGAAATGACAGGATCGGGGCTGATGTGTGTCCATCAAAGTGTCCATGGACCTTCGACAGCTGTCGTCCCAGTGGAAAGCATTGTCCTTTCTGGTGATGGCGTGAAGAGGTTCGGCATGGCGGGCATAATTCTGAATGAAGCACCGATAATAGCCAGCCAAGCCAAGGAACTGACAGACATGTTTCACCGAGGTTGGGGTATCAAACTTTAATTGTTATTAACCTCTGTCTCTCTTCCACAGCATGTCTTTATCCTGTCTTCCTTCTCTCACCCCAACCTGTCGCAGCAGATGGCCGCCCCTCCCTGAGCCTGGTTCTGCCGGAGGTTTCTTCCTGTTAAAAGGGAGTTTTTCCTTCCCACTGTCGCCAAAGTGCTTGCTCATAGGGGGTCATATGATTGTTGGGTTTTTCTCTGTATCTATGAAGCGCCTTGAGGCGACTTTTGTTGTGATTTGGCGCTATATAAATAAAATTGAATTGAAACTCCTTAACCACCTTTACTTTGTCTGGATCGGGCTTAACACCTGATGATGTGATGCGGTACCCGAGAAAGGTGAATTCATCGATGCAGAATTGGCACTTTTTTAGCTTCAATGACAAGCCAGCAGCCTGGAGTCTGCCCAGCACCTCCTCAAGATCCACCAAGTGCTGTTCAAAGGTAGGTGAGGCGATAACAATGTCATCCAGGTAGACTGCGCACGTTTTGTAAATGAGGCAAGCAAGCACAGAATTCACGAGTCTCTGAAAAGTTGCAGGTGCGTTGCAGAGCCCAAAGGGCAGCATCCGAAACTGGAAGAGACCGCAGTGAGAGATGAAGGCAGTTTTAGGCTTCGAGTCCTCTGCTACAGCAACCTGCCAATAGCCTCGCGCTAAGGCCAATGTCGAGACAAGCTTTCCCAGTGCCAGAAAGTCCAAAGACTGATCTACATGAGGCAGGGGATAAGAGTCTTTTCGGGTAACTTGGTTGAGCCCTCGAAAGTCCACACAAAAACTTGGTTCCGTGGCCGCTCTATTTAAAATGACTACAGGAGCTGCCCGAGGGCTTGTGGAAGGTTCAATGATGTTGTCCTTCAACATTTGTTGCACTTGTTCTTCAATCACACGTTTCTTAGCAGGTGACGTGCGGTAGGGAGGGAGATTGACGAGTGCCAGTCTCTATGGCGTGCTCAGTGAGAGCCGTTCGACCAAGTTGACCATCAAACAAGGAGCTAAACTTGCTGAGCAGATTGAGTAAAGCATCCTTGTTGTTCTCTGAGAGACTTGCTTCAGCCAGTTTGGCTGTTAAGTCTGAGCGAATCAAGTCCAAAGACATCAGTGTTCCAGGTGAATGTGAGTAATCATTTTGAAGGTCCTCTTCATCGTCTGTGAGTGGGCAGGGGATGTCCTCAATGTAGACGGTTCTAGTGGGAATGTGAATAGAAACAGAAGCTCTTGCCATAAAATCCATTCCCAGAATGAAAGGAGAGGACAAATCTGGTATTATTGCAAAACACTGGTAAAAGTTCTGGTTCATGAATCCAATATTGAGCCAAATAACACCCTCAGGGATACAGGGAGCATTATTGGCAAGGTTAACTGCAGGACCATTCCACTCACTTGTGTTTCTAGGGTAAGAGTCATTTACTTGAATGAGATCTGTTCGTACAGCCGAGAGGGAAGCACCCGTGTCGAGGGTAGCATCCACAGATGAAGCATTGAAGTTCATGTTCGTTCTTAGTGGGGTATTCCAGTGGACTTGTGAAAAATTCTCTTCCAAGTGTCCAAGACTGTGTCCACCATGTAGTGAATCGGGCGTGTGAGGCTCCGTTAGTAACTGGGGGAAGGTTGGCCTCTGTGAAATGTCCTCCCCCCCCTGTAGTTTCCCGACTGCCAGGTGAGAGGGGCCAGGTGCCGGCAGTGGCTGGACTGGGCCATGCCTAGCGGTGTTTGAGGCTCGTTGTGGCAAATGAGGTTGGGTGTTACAGTTTGGGCAGGTGCGTGTAGTGACTGAGAGCATTTGAAGCAGTACGGTTCAGGCTTATAGTTGTCTTTGCCACATAAAGCAGGCTGTGGTCTTTGTGGTCTAAGCACTGAGTGAAGCTCATGAGCACGTAGCAGCAGGTCTATTACAGAAGTGACATTAGCGCCATACAGGGCAACTCTGTATGTTTCCAGAGCATGTTTACTAATTAGGTCGATTCTGTCTTTTTCAGGTGGAGGACTCTTCAGTTTGTCAAACTCACTCAACATGTGGGCAACAAAGGTTGGGAGCGGTTCGTCCTGAGCCTGAACACGATCCAAAATTCCTCTCAGAATGCGTTCTTGGCTGTCGGAGGGCAGAAAAACGGTCTTAAACAGTTGACAGAATTGAGCCCATGATGTGATGTGGGAGCTCAATGCCTTGAACCATTTCCCGGGCTCTTTTGCAAGAAAGTGTGGCAGTTCGTTTAGCAATTGCCCATCAGTTAGGTTCAATGAGGCTTTGTATGTGCCAACTGCATTTAACCAGTCTTCAGGTTGTACTTTGCCGTCCCCAGCATACACAGGAGGCTCCAGTTTGGCGTGATGTAAAGCTGCCGCAATCACTCTGGAAGCGCTGCTGAGCTCAAGTGAGTGAGATGGGAGGAAAGGATTTGTAGGTTGAAATGGGTTGCTGGGCAGGAACGGATTGGTACTGTTGGTGGGTTCAGTTTTGTCCCTCGCAGGAACATGAGGTGTCGATGTGGCCATTGGGAAAACAGGAGACTGTGGGACTGCAGGAAGGGGAGAGTTCCCCGTTGTAAGTTGGTCCCACTGCTTTAGTAAACTCTGCTGTATGTTCAGTGAGTCACGTAAACAATCACTAAGCTTATTCACCTCAGTTCTTAACTCCACCACTTGTTGGCTAAGGCTAGGAGTCACATTTTCAACTATCTGGCACATCAGTAATGAGGTAAGTTCCATGTCTGAGTCAGAGTCGTCTGGGTAGTGTGCCATTGCGATTTCAAAAAAATTAAGCAGCTCCAGGGCACAGCGCAGTTATTGATATAGCAGTAAAAGAGTCAGTTAGGTCAGACTAGAAAGACAAAACTGCAAAAATGCATTCAAGATTAAATTTAGAAAAACCACAAATAAAATTTTGCCCAACAACTGAAATTAGACTGGAGTGATCAGAACCATGTTATTACAATAGCATGTCTGCAACACTAGAGCTCAATGTGAGATTAGTTTTATATCGTTTCGTTATACTGAGCCGAAGACCAGCACTAACAGTTGTAGTCGGCCGAGTTATCACTTACATGTGCTACAGTCAGTCTAGTCTCAGCACAGGGTTAAGGGGAATGAAAAGCCAGCAGAAATGTTCATGTCCAGGCTCTCCACAGAAGAATTAATCCTTAGAAGACGAAACCAACAGCACGTCCAAATAACAAATCCACGGAGTCCATTCGCGTCACAGAGTCAGCTTCTCTCTTTTTCTTTCTCCCAAGCGGCGCAGCGGCACATCCAGAAATTAGTTGGGTCCCACATGAGCTGAGGCTGCGGCCATGGCTGGGGAAAACGTCCGAGTGTCCGCAAAAGTGGAGGGATTTCCGAGACAGTTCACGTGCTAGAAGAGAAGAATCCTTGGTGGGATACAAAAATCGTCTGAAGTCCAAGGGGAAAAAGTTCGGGCGCCAGTTGTAACGTGCTGTGGAGATGAAGCCAGCCGCGGAGGTGTGCAGGTGGATAGCGAATGAGCAACAGCTTCTGACTTCCCAAAAAGTACTCATTTATTTACAATATCAGAAATAAAAGTGCTACCTCTACCACACATTACTAAAGAGCACACTAGTACACACGGGAGCATCCATTACAGGAGGCGTGCGAAGAAGAACAAAAAGGGGGTGACACACCAGTCATGAGACAGGAGGTGCCGCCATGTGGTGATACACTGCATTACAATAGCAACTGTTACAGACCTTACTCCGTAACTTTGTTTGTCCCTCGTTTTCAGGTAGCTCCAGTGCGTCATCTGTCCACCCGCATACCTCGGCTCCGTCTCATCGCTTCAGCTCTGCTCCCCTTGCACATTTTACCTGTCACTGTATATAGCCCCTTCCCCTGTAAATATTCCCCCATCATTGTGTATAAATCTGCATCACTTCTATCCTGTGCCCGTGTGTGTTTCTGCCACTAAATCCATCCGTGTAAATTCCCCTAACAGAATTTAGATAAATTGTGCTAATATAGTTTGCCACAATAAAAAAAAAAATTACTCAAATTTCAAATATTTGAGGTTGTGCTGAAAATAATGATACCAAACAAGGTGTCATCGTCTGGGTGGGTACCTGCAGGTCTCCAACAGCGGTTCCTCCTCCTTTGGGCGGAGATCAGTTGCTCCTCCCTGGCTGACCTCCTGTGGGCAATTATTCCGGCAGCATATAAGACCTGCACACTCAATCGGTCGTCGCCTGAGTATCTGCTATCCCATGTTTGTCAGTGGTGTGTGATTGCTTTGTCCAGAACCTGTGTGAAAACTCACCTGTTTTTCCTGTCTTCAGAGGTGGCTCCTGGAGTGGGGTTCTCGTCCCCCTTATCCCTGCTCTTCTGGACCTGGGCCACCAGCTGCTGGTACAACGTTGCCAACTAGCCCGCCACTCACCTGCCTGCCTCCCCACGCCTCGACGTCATCCAGGCCTTGCGCCCTACCTGTCCCCTCCACTTGAAACCAAGTAAGGCAACTCACTTTAACTTTGGAGGATCGCTGTTTGACTGCTGGATCCCCTTGACTGTGCTCTCCTCTCATTACAGTGCCCCGGCCACTGCGTAGTACTTTCCCTGCCCAGTTTTCCACCTCCCCACTGCCACAGCTGTTCAGCTGCATCCTAGAGTTGTCTAGTTTACTTTTAGTTCACCTAGTTTTGACAGCGCACAATAGTGTAGTGGTGTCGTTTTTGAGTTTTGCTTGTGTTTACTTATGGGGAGAAATAAACCTTTCGTTCACTCTCTGTCTTACTTCCGGTTTGGATTCTGCATGTGTGTCCATCCCATTTACCTCGTGCCACTGGGCCATGAGACAAAGCAAACTAAGCAGTTTTTAAAGCTGAAATATAGAGGTAAAATAAAAATTAGTAAAAAACGGCCCATTATACCCTGGACCCCACAGAGTTAAATTGCTGGATGTCTGAGTGGTGTCCAAAAAACGATGTGGGCTTCATAGTGTCATGTAATTAATATCCTTATTATCCTTATTTTCTCATTATATTGTTTTATGCACTTTAATTATGAAGGTTTGTAAAGCAAGGCCACTTTTGACTCACAAACTAAGTGCTCAGCCAGACTGAAAACAGAAAGTGTAGAGCTGTACAGCATATTAATAAATACAGGAAGCCAGACAGAAAAGAGGAACTTTGCCATATAAGCAATGTTTGTATTGAAACTGTGACGTGTAAAGTACCAAAATAATACCTATTTGAGACACAGTTTATGATTCTAATGTTAGAGATCCTGCAACTGGTGTTTGAGCTGTGCAGGGGTCTCTCTCTTCCGGAAGATGATTAAATAAAAAGAAATATAAATGTTTTAACACACTATGAGTCAGTTTTCTCTGTTCTACCATGGGGACAAAAGAATTGGGGTTAATAATAATAAACTGTCTGAGTGGTGTCCCAGAAACAATGTGGGCTTCATAGATAATTGGCAAACCTTCTGGAGGAAACCTGGTCTTGTTAGGAGAGGCGGCATCCATCCCACTTTGGATGGAGCAGCTCTCATTTCTAGAAATATGGACAAATTTATTAAACCCCCCAAAATATGACTATCCAGGGTTGGGACCAGGAAGCAGAGTTGCAGTCTTACACACCTCTCTGCAGCTTCTCTCCTCCTGCTACCCCCCAAAACCCATCTCCATAGAGACTGTGTCAGGTTCCAAAAAGACAAAAAACAAACTAAAAACCAGCAAAAAACAACTTCCACATAAAAAAATGACAAAGAAAGAACAAAGCAACAAAGCAATATCCACAAGCCGTAAAATCTGGATTATTAAATATTAGGTCTCTCTCCTCCAAGTCTCTGTTAGTACATGACTTAATAATTGACTAATAAATCAATTTCCTCTGCTTTACAGAAACCCGGTTGCAGCAGGATGATTATGTTAGTTTAAATGAATCAACAGCCCCAATGAGGTATTTCTCAGACTTTTTATCTGATTTGGTGCTCAGCTCAGATAAAATAATTATTGTGGGTGATTTTAAATGAAATATCTACTTTGCAAGTATTGCAAGTTCTATGGGAAGCAGGGAAAGCTGTGATGAGAGGTAAAATAATTTCTTTCTCATCACACAAAAAGAAAGAAGAAAACAAAAATATTCAGGAATTAGAAAAAACCATCAAATCACTAGAAGAAGCCTACGCGTGCGACCAAGATCAGGAAACATTGAACAAAATATGCAAGACAAAACTAGAATTAAATGAAACTATTAATAAAAAAACACAATTCCTTATACAAAGACTTCGCTTGCAGAATTTTGAACACAGTAACAAATCAGGTCGATTTCTAGCTAACCAGTTAAAAATAAATAAAGAAAAAACAACTATATGTGCTGCTAAAGATTTATCGGGGAACACAATATATGACCCTGGAAGAATAAACAACATTTTTAGGGATTTCTATGAAACTTTATACTCACCACAAATAAACCCATCTAAAAACGTAACTCTCCCAAAATTACTAGACAGTCAAGCAATGGAACTGGATTCGCCACTGACGCCAAGTGAATTCCAGGAAGTCCTGATAAGTATGCCCAATAATAAGGCTCCAGGTCCAGACGGCTTCCCTGCAGAATTCTACAAAGAATTCTGGACAATTCTGGCACCAGTATTCCACGGAATGTTGCAGGAAATCGAGGAAAATGGCAGACTACCACCAAATATGAACTCTGCCAACATTAGTCTCCTGCTAAAACCAGGCAAAGACCCTTTATTTCCCTCAAGCTATCGTCCAATTTCTCTTTTAAATGTAGACCTTAAAATAATTTGCAAAGCTCTCTCAAAGAGATTAGAGAAAATAACCCCCCTCTTAATTCATCCTGACCAAACTGGTTTCATAAAAGGTCGGCACTCCTCAACAAACACTCGTAGATTACTTAATTTAATAGACTGCTCATACAATAAAAACATCAAAACCATAATATTATCTCTAGATGCAGAAAAAGCATTTGACAGAGTTAACTGGAAATTTTTATTCGCAACTTTACACAAATTTGGTTTCGGAAACTCTTTTATAAACTGGATAAGAATATTATACAATTCCCCAACAGCTCGTATCAGAACAAATGACCAGACATCCTCCAGCTTCTGTCTCCTGAGGGGCACCAGACAGGGATGCCCACTCTCCCCCTCACTTTTTGCAATTTTTATCGAACCTCTAGCAGCAGCATTTAGACAGGCTACAACAATTAAGGGCATAAAATGTAAGAACATAGAACATAAAATCAGTCTCTATGCGGATGATGTGTTGCTTTTTCTGCAAAACACACAAACCAACCTCTCTGAGGTAATTACTCTAATAAACTGGTTTTCAAGAGTTTCAGATTATTCAATTAACTGGCCAAAATCTACAGTTCCCCCCATTAACTGCTCCTTCCATAATTCTTTCTCTGCCCCACTGCAATCCGGAAATATTAAATATTTAGGTATTAATGTTTCTCCTAAGCTTTCAGACTTAACTAAATTAAATCACATCCCACTTCTAAAGAAAGTAGAAGGCGATCTGACTAGATGGAAATCTTTACCCATATCACTCATGGGAAGGGTCGCCACTATAAAAATGATGATCTTGCCAAAAATAAATTACTTATTTTTGATGATCCCTAACAAACCATCACAAGATTGGTTCAGATCTCTGGATTCATATATTTCCAAATTCCTTTGGAAAGATAACCCCCCGCGTATCAGCTTAAAAACGCTACAAAGAACTAAGGATAGAGGAGGATTAGATCTGCCTAATTTTCACCAATACTTCTTAGCCAACAGGCTTCAGTTCATCTCAGAATGGTCAAAACATACCTTCCTAGATGAGCCCTGGCTAGATGTTGAACATCTAACCAATTTAATTCCTTTACAACTCCATTCTGGGAAATTAATCATATTATTTTTTGTAATATGTCAGTGTTATTCCAGATAGGTGTACGTTTGTTTGGGATTAGTGAAGACTCCGTTATTTTTAGCCCTGGCTAGATGTTGAACATCTAGCCAGGGCTAAAAATAACGGAGTCTTCACTAATCCCAAACAAACGTACACCTATCTGGAATAACACTGACATATTACAAAAAAATAATATGATTAATTTCCCAGAATGGAGTTGTAAAGGAATTAAATACTTAGAACATATATTAGAGAGAACAGAATTTATCCCATTTGACAGACTAGTTGCACAATATGGGATCAACAAGAAAAGATTTTTAGAATATCAACAAATTAAATCCATAATAAAAAAGAAATTTAACCTCAGTCAAGTTGAATTACAAACACCACCAAGTGCGGCACATTTCCTTACTCTTAAATCCCCCAAATTATTATCTAAAATATACAGAACACTTTCTAAATTAGATGAATCAATATCCCTTCCTATTGCAAAGTGGGAAGCAGATTTATCAGTCAGTTTAGACCAAAACTTCTGGTCTCAGGTATGCTTAAAAACCTTTAAATTGATTAAAAATCCCAGTCTGCAATTAATACAATACAAAATACTACATAGAGTGCACTATACAGGTCATCGGATGTTCAAGATGGGCTTTACATCTTCCAACAACTGCTCACACTGTCAAAGCAATACATCAGACAATTACATTCACGCTCTTTGGTTCTGTCCACCAGTGCAGAAGTTTTGGCGCGAGATATGTGAAGACTTATCAAAGTGTCTGAAATGTAACATTCCAACTTCCCCCTTAGTGTGTTTGTTGGGCAGCTTAGATAATGTCACTTCAGAAAAGAATATAGCCCATATGGTTTTCACTGCCCTATGCATAGCCAAGAAAACTGTCCTCATGAACTGGAAAAATAAAAACAATCTTAATTCTAACCAATATAGAAATTATCTATTAGATTACATTAGTTTTGATACAGCCTCGGACACCACATCAGATCAATTGCTCTGGGCTCCTTTTATCAGCTCCATCACCTAGTGGGGGTGGGGGGTCATAGTTTGGTCCCACCTTCAATGTTGTGATTGGTGTGGGGGCAGGGACAGGCTTAGGGCGTCGGGGGGTTCCCCTGAGGCATCTTCCTTGGGGGGCTCAACCCGGGGTAGCGGTCATGTCCGGTTGGGGGCTCTTTTCTGACTATTTCCTCGTGGCTGCGTGCAGCGGGGCTAGGGGAGGGTCTGTGCTGATGGACGTGGGTTACTGACCTGGTAGCCTGTCTGCCCCTGGGTGGGTCCGGGATGGGCGTGAGGGTCTGGGAGCGCTCCGTCTCTGGGCCGGGGCCCTGGCCGGGCCTCGGGGCCTTGGGTCCTGGTTTGTGTGTTGCCGGGGTTGTGGGCGGGTGGGTGCATGGGGGCCCATCCCTGGCGCAGGGTGCCGCCGGTGTGTCGAGCCGCCTGTGGGGCTCTTCAACCGGTGGGGGAGATTGTCACATCTTGCAGGAGCTTTCCTCTCCTCAGGAACTCTCTGCAGGAGGGGGAGATACAGGAGAGGTGGAGGAAGATCTCAGCCTGGGCGTCTATTGTCTCATTGTCAGGGAGTTTTTACCAGACAGCTTTCTGTAGAAACAGGAAGCTGACCCTGTGACTGTAGACATTTACCGCAAGAGACCAGTACAGAAATACACATCTGCAGAAGTTGATTTGCATTATACTATTCTTAGAAATTGACTTGTAGCACACA